TCTAGTCCCTCAATTAAACAACTTTTATACACGAGGGGAGGAGTCAGCCGGCCGTCCCGGCGATGTAAACAAAGTGAAGATAGGACTCTGAAAACTCTGAAAACATCACAGACAGTGGGACTCGGGTGTTACACCCATTGTAGACAGTCATGACTCACAGAGTTATTTTCAGAGGATATACTTGATTTTTTTATGAGGACAGTTTAGAAGAATGCAGTGTGTTTGTAGAGTGATGTCCCCTCTGAAACTTAAGTGAACTTCATTTCAAATATTTTAAATTAACATCAAATTTTACACAACTGAGAGTTTCAACACAACTCTAATAAACAGGAACTACATTTCCCATGATGCTTAGAAAGAGCAGGAAGTGCTCTGACCTGAGCTCCCCTTAACCTGAATTAGTGACATCACCACCCCCGTAGACCACCGACACTCTGTCAGACATGACATCACCGATGATGTCACATCACAGCAGCCAATCAAACACCTCGAGTGATACTATTTAACAGCTGATCTGTCTGGCCCGTCTGTTACCGTCGAGATTAGTGTGACCATAGGGGGTTAACGAGCTGACCAATCAGAGATAATCCTCTTAATGCTCACAGCAGAGTGTTGAAGTCATCGTGACCACGAGAAGAAGAAGAATGAGTTTTATTCTTTTTATTCTACTGTTACATCATTAAAATGTTCATGTCAGACACACAAATCCACATCCAACCGTTGATCCAGTTTTGTAAAAGTGAGACTCATAAATCTGTATCGCATGTTTGATTATTTTATATTTATTTATTTTGCATTTAAAGATAAAAACATTTTGAGGCTTTTATTTTGAATGTTCTTTAAGCTGAGAGTACTTTACTTGCTGTGTGCTTTAATTTTGAAATAATAAAAGCAATTCCTTTGAAATCTGTAATCAAGACTCATTAAAATAACAGTGTATGGTGTGACAGTGTAACGAGCTCCCCGCTCTCTGCAGGCTGTGCAGTCTGACCCTGAAGAGGCTGATGGTCCTGAGAGAACTGGACCGAGAGCTCAGCTCCGTGGTCATCGCGGTGAAGATCCAGGTGAGAGCGTTCAGTCACCCGAGGAGCCTCTCTCTGTGACACAAACCAGGAAGTGGGGCCTTGTTGATCCCCCGGGCTCTGGTGCTCCCAATCAGGGGGGGTCCAGTGGGGGACTGGGGGGTCAGCAGGCCCAAGAGTGCTGGTGGAGGAGCTCAGACAGGTGGGGGGGGGGGGAGCTAGGTTGTGGAGGACTTTGTAGGTGAGAATAAGGAATTTAAAGTGGATATGTTGGGGAAGGGGGAGCCAGTGGAAGTTATGGAGGGACGGGGGTCGATGTGGTCTCTGGTGCAGGAGTGTAAAAAGGCGAGCAGTGGAGATCTGGATATGTTTGAGTTTCTTCAGTGTTTTGGATGATAAGGCGTAGAGGAGATTGTAGTCCGGCCTGGAGACAGACTGCGTGGGTGAGGGTCTCAGGACTGAAGCTCTGATTCTCTTCATGCTTCAGGGCTCCAAGCGGACTCTAAGATCCAACGAGTACCTTCTCCCTCCAGACGGCGTGATGGAGACAGAGCTGGAGCTCACCTTCTCCCTGCAGGTCAGGGTTAACCTCTCTGTAACATCAGTTTGATGTTTTCACTCTCTCACCGTCCGTATCTGCGTCTTGTTGTCTGTCAGTACCCTCACTTCCTGAAGCGGGACGTGAACCGGCTGCATGTGATGCTGCAGAGGAGGAAGAGGTACAAGAACCGGACCATCCTGGGCTACAAGACGCTCGCTGTGGGCGTCATCAACATGGCCGAGGTACGATGCTCACATCGCTCTGAAACACAAAGAGCTTTTATTTACAGAAATACAAATCCTGTGTGTGTGTGTGTGTGTGTGTGTGTGTGTGTGTGTGTGTGTGTGTGTGTGTGTGTGTGTGTGTGTGTGTGTGTGTGTGTGTGTGTGTGTGTGTGTGTGTGTGTGTGTGTGTGTGTGTGTGTGTGTGTGTGTGTGGGTGCGCGCGTCCCAGGTGCTGCAGCATCCAACAGACCGAGCCCACATCCTCGGTCTCCATAGCAACCTCAAGGACGCCTCGCTGCGTGCGGCAGAGCTGAGCGTTCTCTCTCTCTCCAGCCAGCCAATCGAACAGGAGGACACAAGCGGTAACCACGGCAACAAGACCAAGGCCTCAGGTAGGGGAACAATGAAGCTTCGGGTGCTCGTTCCCAGCTCCTGATTGGTCGAGGACAAAGTACACATGAGCTCCTCGACTTTCTGTAGAAACAGCGCGTTTGTTCCAGATGTGTTTTTTATTACAGAGGAATAATGAGAATATTCACCCTGACCCAGTCTTTGTGTTTGTGCAGTTTGTCGAAGACGTTGTTGTGTTTGTGTTTGTGCAGTTTGTCGAAGACGTTGTTGTGTTTGTGTTTGTGCAGTTTGTCGAAGACGTTGTTATGTTTGTGTTTGTGCAGTTTGTCGAAGACGTTGTTGTGTTTGTGTTAGTGCAGTTTGTGGATGACGTTGTTGTGTTTGTGTTAGTGCAGTTTGTGGATGACGTTGTTGTGTTTGTGTTAGTGCAGTTTGTGGATGACGTTGTTGTGTTTGTGTTTGTGCAGTTTGTGGATGACGTTGTTGTGTTTGTGTTTGTGCAGTTTGTGGATGACGTTGTGTTTGTGTTAGTGCAGTTTGTGGATGACGTTGTTGTGTTTGTGCAGTTTGTGGATGACGTTGTTGTGTTTGTGTTTGTGCAGTTTGTGGATGACGTTGTTGTGTTTGTGTTTGTGCAGTTTGTGGATGACGTTGTTGTGTTTGTGTTTGTGCAGTTTGTCAATGACGTTGTTGTGTTTGTGTTAGTGCAGTTTGTCGATGACGTTGTTGTGTTTGTGTTTGTGCAGTTTGTGGATGACGTTGTTGTGTTTGTGCAGTTGTGGATGACGTTGTTGTGTTTGTGTTTGTGCAGTTTGTGGATGACGTTGTTGTTTGTGTTTGTGCAGTTTGTGGATGACGTTGTTGTGTTTGTGTTTGTGCAGTTTGTCGATGACGTTGTTATGTTTGTGCAGTTTGTCGATGATGTTGTTGTGTTTGTGTTAGTGCAGTTTGTGGATGACGTTGTTGTGTTTGTGCAGTTTGTCGATGACGTTGTTATGTTTGTGCAGTTTGTGGATGACATTGTTGTGTTTGTGTTTGTGCAGTTTGTGGATGACGTTGTTGTGTTTGTGCAGTTTGTGGATGACGTTGTTATGTTTGTGCAGTTTGTCGATGATGTTGTTGTGTTTGTGTTAGTGCAGTTTGTCGATGACATTGTTGTGTTTGTGTTTGCGACAGATCGCTCTCCTGACTTGGAGAACTACTCGGAGGACGATGACGACAGCTTCTCCTCGGAACAGGAAGGAAGTGACGACGCCGTGCAGACTCAGGTGAGTGACCTCGTGGACTGAGTCTCTGAGGTGTTACCTGCTTGTCTCTGCTAAGTGAGTCTAATTCACAGAGCTGGGGCACCGGTGGCCAAGTGGTTAGTTAGACTTCACCGAGTTCTCTTACCACGCGTAGAACGGACTCATCATGGCGTCCATCTTCAAAGAACTTGAGGAAGTCTGTCGCCCCCCGGTGGTGGAATGAACTTCCAAACTCCATGTGATCTGCAGAGTCCCTCTGCACCTTTAAGAAAAAGCTAAAGACCCAGCTCTTTCATGAATACCTACTAACTTAATGATGATGGTCTCCATATTATTGATGGTAATGACGATGGTTTTTGTTTGATAACGACGACTTATAAGATGGTTTCTATACTGATTAGAGCTCTCAAGAACTGCCCTCAATGTTGTGCTTTGCCTCTGGTCACTTCCTGTCAGCACCTGTGTGTCCAATCAGACTCAAAGCTGATCGTTTGCTCTTACTGACATTGTTCCTTTTTTCTAGATCCTTGCTTGTGTTGTTCTTACTCTCTGATGTACGTCGCTTTGGATAAAAGAGTCTGATAAGTGAATTGTAGAAGTCCTCCTGATGGTCCTTACAAAGTATCATGACAAGTATCATCCCTCAATGTTTCACTGTGAATCAAAGTGGTATTTAAACATCTGCTCTGCTAACGTGGCTAAACCTGCAGACATCTACCTGTGTTAGCTCGCCAGGTGTTAGCATCACTCTGAACCTCCTGACGTTTGTTTCTCAGGACATGTACGACGACGATGAAGACGTCCAGAGAAAGACGAAGAAGTCTCACAGGAAAATGATCCGAGCGACCTCGCTGACGCAGGTGAGGAGACTACCTGTCAGGATGTTTTACATTCTTTGATTCTTTGGTGTATCTGACTCCTGTAGCTGAAGGTTCATCTGTGAGATTTTATAGCAGAATTTATTTCAGTAGCTTCAGGCGGTTTCAGAACTTCTCAAATCAGTGAGGTACTGGTTAGCTGATCTATAGTACTGATTCATAAGAATGGATGGATTTAAACACGGGGTTGTTTGGACCAAGTGGTGCCTGTGATGCTGCTTTTATGGATCTGGTAGCCAGCGGTTACTAACCTGGGCATAAAAACAGATTGACACTTTAAAATGTTAAGTCCAGTTTATAACCAGCTCGGGCTTTTATCTGAGGTGAAGTCCTTTTTATCTTCTCATGTTTTTGAACGTCGTCTTCATGCTGCTCTCTGCGTAGGCGTGACTCAGTCGTCCCTGTCTCGCCTACAGTCGCTCCAAAAGGTTGCTGCTCGCACATCTCCCCGCTCCTGGCTCCCTGTTCGTATCAGGATTCATTTAAACATATTAATAATTGTTTTTAAATGGCTTCACGTCTCAGCGCCACAATATATCTCATAACTCTGCAGCCCTACAGCCCGTTACGACCACTCAGATCTGCAGAGCCGCTGGTTTTAACCATTCCAAAGACTCGGCCGAGGGTCGCTCCAAAACTCTGCAATGAGCTGCTTTCACTTCGGCTCCATACGACTTCATTTGGAACTTTTATTAAGGGGCTGGCAGGAAAAGGATGTAGTGGGAATGTCAAATATGTTTGCGTGATGTGATCAGAGACAACCAATAATAAATCCAGGATTTGATGTGTTAAAAAGTTTGTTTTAACTGCGTCTCGTTTTTTATTTTTCAGCAACCGAATTTCAAACAGAAGTTTGTCGCTCTGCTGAAAAGATTCAAAGTCACAGACGAGGTTTGTATAGAACTCTACATCTCCATCAAAGACTGTTTATAAGACATGAACGTAGTCTTCAGAAGCCAATGAAGAAGTGTTTTAAACCTGCAGGCTTTCATATGTCCAGCAGGGGGCAAAAGGAGCCTGATTCCATAGAAGTCTATGAGAAAATGTTCACTTGTCAGTAAACATTATCCTGATGAGTTTATGGTCTTAACCTTTAGTTTCAAGTCTTCTTCAGCACAGCATGATGTTAATGTAGTAAATTAAGCTCAAAATCACTATTCAAACTGCAGTTTCAAGCCAGGATATTTACGATAATCAGAGACTGGCAGGTCACCTCTGTCGCCGCCTGCTGATGTCTTTGGGTCCTGCAGGTCCTGGACTCGGAGCGGGTGGGTCAGAGTCAGGAGGTGGAGGAGGACCTGGATCTCCTCTACGACAGTCTGGAGGTTTACAACCCGAGCGACAGCGGCCCCGAGCTCGATGACAACGACAGCATCGTGAGCACGCCTAAACCCAAACTCAGGTCAGACGGAGGCAGTGTTGTACCTCAACGTGCTCTTTGAACAAATATCTTTGGTGAACTGAATAGTTATGTTTTTAACTCGTGAAGGAGCATAGTTCACTGGAGACGATGAACGACTGCTCATGATCTGCATTTATTTCCTGTGCTGTGAATGTTTCAGGCCGTTCTTTGAGGAGAGCTCTCAGACTGAGATGAAGAGTGAGAACAGTCAGCACCAACACAGAGAACAGACTACAGCTGTGAGTACCACCGCCACACACTCACTACAAGTCTGACTGAACACTGACTGCAGGATGTGGAGAAAAACTGAACAAATGAGGGCGGGACGGAAACTGGTGGGAAAATAAAAAGGAAAAAATCTTTATTTGTGATTTTTCACACTTAAATGTAGAAATCAAGTATATCCTCTGAAAATAACTCTCTGAGTCATGACTGTCTACAATGGGTGTAACACCCGAGTCCCACTGTCTGTGATGTTTTCATAGTTTTCAGAGTCCTATCTTAAGTTTGTTTACATCGCCGGGACGGCCGGCTGACTCCTCCCCTCGTGTATAAAAGTTGTTTAATTGAGGGACTAGAGAAAAGAAGAATAACATACTGTACTCACTGCTTAACTGTGTTTCTAGATCACGCTCATTTCAGGTAAATTTACATGCAGTGTGAAGATACGGGCATTATAAAGATCGCTAGCATTAGCATGCTAACACAACAATGCAGCGCGAGTTGTTTTGGTTTCATGCTGGTGCTCAAGGGCGACATCTGCTGGATCAAAAAATCACATATAAAGCCTTAAAAGATAAAAATCCTAATGACAAAATGGCTGCAGACATTCTGTAATTCTGTCATTTCCAATTAAAGATGTAGTTTTACTCAATAACAGGAAGTGATGTCATAACAATGTCAGTGGGGGGGAAAAACAGCAGAAGACAAAATATTTTCACCTCTTTCTGATGATATCTGATTGTTTCGAAGCAAAGAGCAGCAGAAATGTTTTAAATCTTTTTATCAGTAGAACCCAAAGACAGCTGTGAGCTCTGCTGCCTCCAGCAGGTCACATTGTGAAAGTGCACCATGTTGTTTTTATCAGGCTGCAGAGCTGTCGTCTCCTGGAGGTCTGGGGACTCACGACGAGTCCAAAGGAGAGGAGGCTGGCCCCGGGGTGAGACTAAACCTGACTTTAACCTTTACACTTTAACTCTTTTCCTTAAAGCACCTGTGAGGAGTTTTTTGAAAGATTTAGTTTTTGGTTTTTTATGCCTTTATTGTAGAGATAGAATCCCCGACTGCCCACTTGGAGGACTACATCCTCCGGCGCAGGCACTATCCCCTTGGCGATAGGCACCCCCTGTGAAGATTATTTATCTGGTTAAGAAACAAGCTAAAATGAATACTGATGTCTGTGTGTGAGCTACTAAAGCTAACAAGAACAACAGCAGGATGATTCATTATTTCTAGTTGACTATTCATCATCAACCTTTATTTAAGTTCTCGGAGAGATCATTGAGGGCGACCCTCATTTACAATGATGCCGAGAAAACATACATAAATGACAAACAACGATTTAAACAAAATTATTAAAGATACCACAGAAAATAAAATCAATAAAAGCAGTTAAAAATAATATTTCTAAAAGTGTCCATAAGGGATAAAAGTGCTCAAGTTCAGGTCCTGTTGTAAAATGTTCCAGGAGTTTGCAGCACTAACACTGAAAGTAGTTTTCCCCAGGTCAGTCCTGGCATGAGGAACCTGGAGAACCGGCCTCTCTCTCGAGCAGGTTAAAAATGGATGTTCAGATGTAACAAAGAGGTGATATATGATGTAAGGGCCTTATAGATAAAAAGATGCCAGTGGTTATTGCGTCTGTCAGTAACAGAGAGCCAACCAAATTTATCATGTATTCAACACAGGGTAGGTGACAGACGAAGTAATTAACACCTGATGCCAAAAACAGCCTTTTTTTCAAATAAATTCCACAACTTTCAGGTGAGTGAAAGGATTTTTCCAACAATAAAATACCGCTTTGACCACAGGGGGCGCCAAAGTTGACATAAAGTAAAAGTTCCTCTCAGGTGCTTTAAAATCAATCAATCAATCAATCAATCAATTTTTATTTGTATAGCGTCAACTCATAACAAGTGTTATCTCGAGACACTTTACAAAAAGCAGGTAAAAGACCTTACTCATTGTTGTTCCAAAAAGCAGGTAAAAGACCTTACTCATTGTTGTTCCAAAAAGCAGGCCGTCAACCAACGATCTTGAGGCCTAAGAGAGCTCAAGAGCTCCCAGGAAAGTAGGTGGTTAGTGACTGAGATTTACAGATAGATACATGCAGTGATATGATGTACTGGAGAGAGAGAGAGAGAGAGAGAGAGAGAGAGAGAGAGAGCTCAAGGTGCCAGTTTCCCCGGTAGTCTAAGCCTATAGCAGCATAACTAGGAGCTGGTCTACACCAGCACCAGCCCTAACTATAAGATTTATCAAAAAGGAAAGTTTTAAGTCTATTAAAATACAGACTGTGTCTGCCTCCTGGAC